GTTTCATATTTTTGTGGTTAAAAAAATACATATGGTTCAGAACGGATTAACCTTATTTACACTGAACCTTAAGGGAAAATTTGATTCGGTTGGCGACCACTTTCGTAGGGGTCAGAACGGATTAACCTTATTTACATTGAACATTATGGGGAAATTTGATTCGGTTCACGACCAGAATCGTGGAACGAATTAAGTTCCTGAACCGAGGTACCACTGTAATTGTTTTAAGGCCCATAGATAAATTTCAAAACAGAATTTATAAGTTCTTATCAAGAAATTCCCTGCTCTTAGATTTAAATATGAAATGTTACAGTCAAGTTTAAAATACTGTAATAATTCCCCACTCTGTCAGATAACAGGATATGATCAATATATGTGTCCAATTGCATTTGAGTGTAATGCTGAACTATAATTTGTTATAAGAAGCTCTAATAAGTCTTAAAACCATGTATCTGTCCTCTCCCGTCACAGTTTTATAGCAGAAACTTTTCATCTATTTTAGATAAGCCTCCTAAACCAAGAGTTCTCAAATTATATTGTGTCCCCATACAATAAATGAATTTGTATCCCCACTGTGGATAAATCCAATGTGGAGGCAAGGTAGAACCATTCTTAAAATTTACTTTGTGATTTGTTGCAGGCTTGCCAGGTCAAAATGAGAGTGAATTTTGACACCACTTCTGCTTTGCTGATGCTACCCTGATCTCAAAACAAAACAAAACAAAACAAAACCTTTTGCACCTGCCCCCAGCTGTTCATGATCCCCTGGGGGAGTCATGACCCTGTATGAGAACCCCTACCCTAAGCAATAGTTAACCTTAACTATAATTTGTTGGAATGAACCAGCAATATAACCAATAATTTAAAGCCTCCAAGTTTGAAAAAAGGCCTAATTAATCATAGATTGTCATGTAGGGCTTAATCAAAAATAGTTTTTGAACTGCTCCCAAGTTATATTGGCATAAAAAGGGTATAACTCATAACCCAAGGGGAGCAAGGTTTGGTTATGTAACATTCGCCATGAGGACTCCAATTAACTGGACATACATAGTTATTAAGAAAGAGGTCCTCAAACAAGGAAGAAAAAAATAGTGGTGAATCAATAGAAAGACAAGATACAAGCAAGCATAAAGAACACATGAGAGCCAACTGGAGTTTGGGATTATCTTGGACCTTAAGAAACCCCATTTTCTGTCTAAAAATGTATTCAGAAGAAATGTTTAACCAGTCATTATTCACAAATAAACAATTTATAAGAAATAGAACTTGTATTGCTGTTCTTTTAATTTAGTATCAGAATTTTTTAAATACCATTCCTATCTTTCTGGATTGTCTGTTATCTAGGTTCATACCTATCTACCTATGGTCTCTGAACAAAAGCATGGTTTGGGATGTAATCTTAACTAAAAAAAGCAGTTGAACTTAGAATGGACTTCATAAGAGGCACAAATTATGCCAGCCGAATACACTTTGGGCTACTTTTTGTGTGTGTCTTCAAGTCAGCCTTGACTCTTGGCAACTATCGGGACAAGTTCGTGCAGTTTCCTTGGCAACCTTTTTGGAAGTGGTTTGCCATGGCATTCTTCCTAGGTCTGAGAGAGAGTCATTGACCCAAGGTCACCCAGCTGGCTTTGTGTCTATGGCAGGACCAGAATTCATGGTCTCCTGGTTTCTAGCCGTGCCTTTAACCACTGTATCAAACTGAAGAGGGAATAGGGAATGACCTTCACAACAGGAGGAAGTGCTGCTACCAAGGCAATGGTCAGATAAAGAGGGGCTTGAGCCCGGGTCAAGAAAATAATGTGAGAAAACATCTCAGACAAGCCCCTCCCTAGTTCACATGAAGATAAAGTAAGGACGGGAAGCACATTCAAACTTGCAAGATTCTGTTACTACAGCCGTTACAATAAAAGTAATCCTGACCTACATGGCATTGGTTTTTTAGTCTGGTCCACCTTATTGGGTTGACATAAACTAACTCTCTGGGCTACTGAGGACTGGGCAATTATATAAAACAAAGTATTCCGCAGTAACTTGCTAAACACATCTCAAAATGCTATACAAAATAGCAATCAAAGAACAGAAAATAGGCCACCTAGAAATTTAGAATAATTAACAATGTCATCTGATCTAAATTTTCTCATGCTAAAATCAAGAACTTACCTCTTGCTTTTTGGGAAAATGATCTGAAACATGAGAAATGTAGTCACAGATTAAATTTTAAATAAATCTGAAGGCAAAAAACCTCAAATTTCAATACTATATGTTTACAAAAATTATAAAACAAGATCCCCTAAATTTAAATTCCTTGTTTCTTGATTTAGCAGTTTTTTGAGTCCAAAAGATTAACCATACAAATGGGAATACCAGAGAATGCCCAGAGCAGTATCTTTTGCACACTAATTGTAGAGGAAATAGAGACATTTTGAAACTTGGTCTCCAATCTCTTTTTTTGCTTGCACTGGGAATACTGGGTGGGTGTAGTAGGGGAGGTTAAAAAGTGTGGATATGTGAGAAAGTAAAAGGATTTCAGCCTGCTCTCCTCCTCCTTTTTCCAGTGCAAGCAACATTCCAGCATTTCTGTGCTTTTATTTAATTTAAAAAAATTCTAACCTATTAAACAATTAATGGGTCTTCCCTCTCATCAAGATTTCTGTTAATTTTCTTAGCTCTTATAGTTAATGTCCTTCAACATCTACCCCACCAATCCCAAAAGAAACCAAAACACATTTGCTAATACTAAACACAAAATTTGACATTTAAAGCAACGGCACTGTACAATAGATTGAACTAATTTAAATGGCATCCAATAAGTTTAGTCTCTGAATTTTTAAAACATAAACTGCTTTTATCCTGCGGAATGGCTTTAGCTGGAAGACAAGTGTGTACAGTTCAAATCTGGTGATTCTCCAGGAATTCTCAGCATCTTCCCAAACCATATACTGTTAAATCTTCCTGAACCATTTCTCTAGGCCAAGCATTACATTCTGGACTGAGTTCTGTATTCTGTACGCATGATAGAGTACACTTGGGTTCAACTGCCCTAAACTGTAAATGACCGTTCATAAAGGGTAATAATTTTTTCCTCAGCTATCCATGATCTTCCCAGCTCCAAGTCAGTATATCCAATGTATGTGCGGCTGCCTTTGAAGAATAACTAGAAGCTATAGTTAATCTGGCATGGGGTTACAAGGCTTCTGATGGAAACACCTGTTCATTACATATTACATATTTTCTACAAACTTCTCTGTATGCTTCCAGATTAAGAGAGAGTTCTTGCTTTGACCTTTAAAGGGACTTCAACAGAATTGTGTTGGGAATGTTCTATATGCTTTCCATATAAATGGTGAAGATGGTGTCTCTATTTTTGGTGTATCTATCTTTCGGGAAGGATAGGTCAAAGTGAATTTTCCTCTCTCTTTACTGCATGCAGTTAAGTGGTCTTAACTGGAAGATAGTATATGCAGTTCACATGTGTTGTGATCACTGACTTTATCATTAAATATAAAAAGTTCTAATCTTAGGACTGCTTTGAGCATATCTACTGGTTTACAAAAAAATAAAATAAAAACATACCTATGTTAATATCAGACTGAAAATCTTTTAAAGATACTGTGAGAGGTTTGTCTTTTCCCTGCTGATTTTTTCGTTTCTCTCTTTTGTGTATAACCTTTGATGGAAGAGACGCATTTTCAACATGTTCATATTCCTATAACAGAATAAAAATGTGTATTTTCTTTAATTATTTCAAAAATGTATATTTCAAAAACCTCTATCAAAAGGAAAATAAGCAAAAAAATGATATAAAACATATAGTCTAATATTTTGATTGATACAATTTATTATTTTGGATGTTTCTCTAAATAGGTAAAATAACATTACATACTAATAACAACAACATTACTATAAGCGTTATTTTCTTAATCTGCTATTGACTTGACTATCCTAAATGACTTTACCCTCATATCAGATAGTAACCGCAAATACGATTCTATAGTTTTACTGTCATAAATGTATTACTTCAGTGAATAGAAAATATCTCACTCATAGGCAGGACAATTCAAATTTATCTGATATATGCTAAATAATGACAATACTATATATGAATTAGTCCAGCATTCTGTTGCCATAGTATCCAGTTAGATACCACTCAAGGGAACATAAGCAGGATGTAAGTGCCATCATGAGTAGCCAATAATAGTTTTAACATCCATCAATTTCTCTAATAAGCTGTCCAGGTTGCCATTATTATTTTTTGTATTATTGAATTCCACAGATTAACCAAATTTTGTAGACTGTAAAGAAGTATTTTATTTATTTGGACACTCAACAGTTTAGCTTCATTGGATGTTCCTGGGTTCTATCATTTTGAAACGAGGAGGAAAAAAATCTCCCATTTCTCCCAATATGTGTCATTTTTTGCCCCCACTCATATCGCCTCATATTACTTTTATTTCAGATAAAAAACTCCAAATCTTTTAAGCTTTCATCATAAAGGAATTAGTTGCTCTAGTCTTTTCCCAACTCTAAATTTCTGCCTTGAGGTACTGCAACCAGAACTGTACTTGTACAAATTTGGGCTATTCTCCAATAAGGGGTTCTTAAACTGTGGGTCAGGACCAGTAGGGAGGGGTCATGAGTAACTTATGAAGGTTCACAATTAAAAAAAATAAATTGATCAGGCATTTGCAGGCAAAATGGGACCAGTGTCACAACTTGCTCCAGGCTTTGCTCATTTTATCTGTACAAATACACAATGTGCTACAAAGTTTGAGAACCACTGTAATGTATTGATTAAAATTTAATAATTTAAACTAACCAATTAAAAGTGGTCTATTTAAATATTTAAAACCACTGAAATCATTAGTCTTATTAATGGACACCATTAAGGGGGCTTACACAACATTTGTCACCTTAGGAGGTCACAATACCACAAAGTTTAAAAACACTTCTAATAGCTTCTTAATCTTGCTGTTGACTTTAATAGAATTTGCTATATTTTCTTTATTATTTATACCATCCAAATTCTTTTTTTATTGGAGCAGTTCATAAATGTTGTCAAATAAATTTACCCTATATAAATTACCACCTTTCTGGACTGCATTAGAGAAGGTATAAACAAACAAATATGTATTGCCATCTCTTATAATGCCCAGTCAGTCTTACTTCTGGTCAAAATATTTGAAGAAAATATGAAAACCACCCAACAGTTTTTTATGATGAATGCTACTGTTGGTTTATTGTCCATATTTCCTATAGCATATAAACTGAGGCAGCATAAGAACTGATTCTGTTTTTCTTGTTAGTTGATAGATTTGTTACAGCAAGACACTGAAAGCCATAGTATATCTTTCATTACAGCAGTGGTACTTAGAAGCAAGAGAAATTGCTGTGGCTGAAAAACTGATACAACAAAGAGCTGTGAAATTATCTACAACAAAGAATAAATGCATTCAAATTTGCTCAATCTTTATTAACAATATTAATATCTTTCCCTAACAGATTATCTTAAAATGGTTTTATGTAAAAATATTGAATATGGGTATTTTAGATGTCTGTATTTCTCCTCAAGAATCTAGTTTACAACTCTGGGATTGTTTGGTGGTCTCCCAATGAGGTATTAACCAGGAATAACCATGCTTAGCTTCCAAGTCTAGAAAAATTCAACCAGGAGCTGTCACCTGTGAATTCAGTATTTTAACTTCTTCTTATTTTTTTTATGATCATCTTTGATTTTCTGTTTTTTGTTTTTTAAAAGAATAATCCAGATAACTTGCAACATGTATAGGGAAGATCAACGAAGACGGCCAGGAAATAAAGGCGTGGGTAGTATATACATTTGCTAAACAAAATCCTCTTTAAATAAACATTTAGGGAAATGAATCAGTTTGGTCTTGACAAGAGAAAGGCTGAAGGAGAATATGAAAGCATTCTTCAAGTACCTGGAGCCTGTCACTCAAAGAAAATCATAACCTATTCTTTGTAACTCCAGATTTCAGCTAAACGACAGGAAAAAACTCCCTTAAGAACAATTCAATAATGGAATTTTTAGTGAGGTGGAGAACTTTCTGTCTTTAGCTATACTCAGGCAGAGTCTGGCTAGCTACCCACTGGGGATGCTTTAAATTGGATTTCTGCATATAGCAACTGTGTGCCTTACATGGCCTAAATAGCTCTTTCAACTCTTTCAAAAAGTTTTGAAAGAAGCAAAGGTGTCCAATATGTAGCATCTTAATAAACATGGACACAAACAGCCAAATGGCTGCTCACAGATGTATCCAATGAGAATACCAATGTTAGTGGTGCCAGAGTAGAAGCGCTGTTTTTTTTTTCCTGGGGACAGAATCTGAACATCCTGAATGTTTCTGAGAGACAATGAGAGCTTTACATACATCCAGAGTGTGCCTCTCCTCCTGGTTCAACATGGTGGGCATGCTCCAAAATCTTTTTTTTTTCTTTTGAAGTAATCACCATGAATAAGATGACTGTCTATAACAGAACCTTTAGCAAGATCAAATTTAATAGTTCAAATGGTGCTTTTAAGAAGGCCTTCAGCTCCTGTGAATATCCCAATTGGAAAATCTGTGTATGATAGGGGAACACAAGAGAGCCTCACAAAAAACCTTCTTAAGATGTGGATGACAGAACTCCCACCCTTGAGTCCAAAGCTGTAATTACCTCTTTGCAGTAGTAAGCTGTAGCCCCTCCCTAACAGCATCATTCAGAAAACAGAATATGACATCAGACAGATAATTTTTACCTTTTCTCTTATGCCAAAGAAACAAAAAGTTCTAGTGGTGATTTCATAGATTTGTTTAATGTGTTCCCTTCTAGGTGCTTTAGACGTCTGTAAAACTCCAGTCTCACCTACTTGTGCCTTAAATATGTGCTGTTCAGTCTTCAATCATGAAGGTTCAGCCATTCTGTATCCAGATGGAAGAAAGGACCTTGGCCCCAAATATCTCTTGCAACTGGCAGGTGCTTCATTCCTGTTGATATGAGTCTTTGCAGTTACATTATCACCAATATTAGCATATGCTTGCCCCTCAGCATATGCTCGCCCCTCAGCCCAAACAGGAAAGCCAGTAGTTCTTATCACTTTACATTATGGGAGATCTGAGGTAGGTGCCCTGCTCTGTGCCAGTAAGCCCTCCCAATACATTGCTCAGCTTTTGATACTAATATCTGTTTTAGTCTGTTATTTCCTCCCTTTAAGGGAATCGTTCTTCTGAAGAACTGTTGATGTCCAGCATGTCAGGGAAGCTTTCACTTGGACATGACTCTGATGAGATTGTAGCACTGAAAGGCAATGCTCCATTCAGGTGATGATTCTTTGGCATGATTCCCTGCCAATGAGGGCAGGAAAATGAGGTCTAATATATAGGATGTGAGAACTGCTCTAATCGCAGAGCTATATTCTTCAAGGAAAGACTGTGGAATCTGCTATATCTGATTGAAAAGCCATGAGATTCCCAATATCCAAGATGTGAAATTAAGATGTACAGCAGCTTTGTAACTATCTTGGAAGCTGAAGAGAACTCAAAGGGTAAGGATGTGCACTGAAATGTGTTTGATACATAAAGCAGAGGAACTTGCAATGTCTTCAAAGGGTGGAACTATACATTTAGGCCTCTATGAGATCCACCAAAGTGATAAAGTCTCCTTTCAATACAACACGTACAAAACATCTGAATATCTTCATATAAACTGATGTGATTTTACATGCTTCTTGAGGTCTTTAAAATCTAGTATGACTCTTCAATCCCATTTTCTTGGGGACTAAAATAAAAATTGAATATATGTCTGAGATCCAGTTGTTTGAAGGAAGTGCTACTTATCAGATGAATGGCACCTTTCGTTCCTTTTAAGGTTTTAAAGAGAGAAAAACATTTTGAGGTTCTGAAAACAGTTCAAAAGCACAGCCCTCCTTGATAGTGCATGGACTTGGTGATCTATAATAGACACTTCACAGGAGACTACAAACTACTAGCATCTTTCTCCTATGGTGCTAGGGTGTCATGCTAGGGTCTATCATCTGTTGTGTCTTGAGGAAGCAAACTTTGGGGTTGATTTTTATTCTTGCTGCTCATTTTATCTTGATTTTACTATTTGAAGTTTTTATACTTTCAGTGGTTTTTTAATACTTTCCGTTACATGTTCATAAGAAGAGAAAAGTAGTTATTGGGTGATTAAAGTTACAATACATAAAAATTATCTATCCCTAGTCCTGGAGAGGTAGGGTAGAGACCTCTGCCACTTTAGGCTCTCTCCTTCTGCTTCTTGGTTGGGGTGTAAAGGAGCAAAAGTAATTCTAGTCCTTTCTCAGATCTTCTTATACTCTCTCTTTTTATTTTATATTTCACCATGTATGTCATGAAGAAGCTCCCAAAGACACTATGCTCCATTAAGGAGAATAATTTGATACTGGTGTTCCAGTTCTTTAATAAGAAATTGTGCCACATCATCAGCTGTCATAGCTTTTGCAGCAGCTTATATGGTATCACAACATAGGAAGCTCAATCAAAAATTCTGGCACTGCCTTTTGGAGTATGTAGGAAGAGAACCCCAGTCTTGGATATCTCCTCTGCTGTAAGAAAACAGTTCCTTCTCTGAAAAGAAAAATGTATTATAGCTGTTGACTTGATAACAGACTGAAGCTTAATGGATCTGTGGAAGGTAGCTTCCTGTCATCAAAATTCCTTACAGCCTCATTTTTTCCTTGAAACCCATGGCACCAGAACCCAGGGCAGAATCTAGGCCATTTATCACTACCTATAGCCACTCTGGATAACTATGAAGTTTCTTAGCTTGGTAAGAGGATAATTTGGTCAAGAAAGACTTAATCTACTGGCTATAAGAGGAGGAAGATGGGTGTCTAAGGAATTGATTTCTGAAAAACTGTGCTTATCCACCTGCTCCTTGTAGTGTCTTTTTACTGCTCAGGATAGTACATAGGGTTATCAGAACACTGGAAACTCTTGCAGAGAATTCTTCTCTGGAAACAAGTCTATTGGAAGCTGAAATTGCATCTCAGATTACTCTGTATCTTTAGAAAGGAAAAAACATCACGTCTGGAACTTTCTTCATCAGAAAGCATTTTTTTTTTTTCACTCTGTTGCCTATTGGAAATATAAGAGAATTTGGGGAGGAGATCAAAAGGAACCTCATCCTTTTTTGAAACAAGAGAACTGCTGAGCTAGCTGAATTACTGGATCAGTTATGCAGCCATTTCATATGTTTGGAAAATATCTTATTTTGCTGTCAGAGCCTCCTTATATCTGCAAGTCGAATTGTGATCAGCTAGGGCTTAGTGTTTTTTAATCTTCTTCCTTTATCAGTTCCTTCATGGTTGGTGGTTTATCCAGTCTTATAGCCCTAGGTGGAAGAATCCCTTACCTTAAATCAAAAAGGGCAGAGCTGCTGCTGGAAAATGTTCCCTAAACAAATCCTCTCTTTTCAAACCTTATATATTTCCAAATGTATACATTTCAGTCAGTATCCTAAGTATGTTTATCACTGACCCAGCAGAGCCACACTAACTGGCCACTGTGCCATCTGGACCTTCTTCTGCATCACAGCAAGCAGCAGTGACTCTTTGTTGAAGGAGCAATCATAGCACGCAGGTACTGCTTCCTTTTTCTTTGCCCTGCCTTGGGACTTAACACCAGTCCTAGCCCTGTGATTTGAAATTCCTGTTTGAATGCCTGAAATACATACAGGAGTATAAATACATGTTTTTGGCCTCCTCCTTGGAACATCTACTATACTATTGTAAACTCAAGCCCCAGTTCATCCCAGATAGCTTACACTGAGGTGTTCAGTTAGAAAAAATTATTTAAAACACAGAAAATGAGTATAGCTAGGAAATGTTTATAGAAACATTAGAAATTAAGGAGATTTTTTTTCACCAGGTTATATATACAAATTTGAATATTTCTGCTATTATACCATGTAAGAATACCTTTCCCACTAAAAACAGAAGTTAATCTTACTAAGGTATTATTATTACAAAGAATGCCTATAATTTATTTTTAGAAAATCAATCATGTATCTAGCAATGGAAACACCCCCCACTCATATTTTAGACTGTGATCTAAAATTAGAGTAGATTTAAATATTTTTGTTACTCTAATTACATTACCGTACTGAAAAACAAACTTTTACAGATTACTTTCTTTTTCATGCAAAATTTGAAACTGCTAGATAATTGTATTTTCTGCAAACAACTGAATAAATCCCTGTTGTATGGAATCAAACAGATGTCTAAATACATTTTTAATGGAAAGGCAGTATCACTGGTTTTCAGGAACAAGTTACATATTGGTGCATATACTCTATTAATTCTTCCTCTGCCCTAACCAAAAAATTTGGTTTGTTGTTCCCAGACAAGTTAAACCAGAAGGCAGAATTTGTTGTTTGTTTACAGACCCTGACTTTTTTGGGAACCAAGCAGAATCCTGGGTTTCTTGTAACAGAAAGCTATCATTGCTTAGTTTATTAATTCAAACAAGGGGAACAAAACTGAAATAAGAAGAATGCGGGTATACTAATGTACAGCTGGCTAATATGCTAATTCTAATTTATGGTTCTATGTGACCTGAATATTAGTATTTTTCACATGAAATGATAAATGCCTATAATTTACTGATAAATCTGTTTAGCATACTTAAGTTTAAACCAAAATAATATAATTTAGATTAATATTTTATTAACTGATGCAGACATTTTATAATTAGTTTTCAATTTTATAACGCTTAAGAGCTTTATTATTTTAATAAGCTATGAAAAAAGATTAATGGCTGCCCTCTCTTCTGATACTTTATATATTATGAGAAATATAATGACACATAATTTTTGACAATTGAGGTTTAAAAACAACATTGAGGCTCTGTTGGTAAGCCAGCTTAATTAATCAACTCATGTTGAATCTTATAAAACCTGTATAGGTATGTACAGGTAGTCTTCAAATTATGATGGCAATTGGGACCGGAATTTCCATCACTAAGCAATGCAGTCATGAAGCACAATGTCAAATGACCACATCACTTAGCGACAGCAATCCTGGCAGTCCTGGTTGCCGTCATAACCTCAGGATCGCACGGGTCATTAAGCAAGGACCTCACTTGACCACGACATGGGAAGAAGTGGGAGTCCCAAGCAAGCATGCTGGTGGGTGAGAACTATAAGCAGGCGAGTGATATGGTCAGGCGAGTGATATGATACAGAGCATGGGTGGGCAGGCGGGTGCTGCGGGTTGGCGCTATGGAGCATGAGTGGGTGGCTGCCACGACTGGGAAATACAGAGTATGAGCAGGCAGGCTAACAAGTGGTGGGAGCAGGAGTGACTTGTGGGGGCGACTTGTGACCTCCTGCCAGCTTCCCCATTGACTCTGTTTGTGGGAAGCCAGCAGGGAAGGTCGCAAATGACGATCACATGACTGCAGGACACTGCAACTGCATAAGCACAAGCCAGTTGCCAAGAGCCTGTACTGCAATCATGTGACCACGGGGACGTGCGACAGCCGCAACTTTGAGGACCAGTCGTAAGTCCCCCCAGCACTGTTGTAAATTTGAATGGTCGCTGAATGAGTGGTCATAACCCAAGGACTCCTGTATGAAGGAAGAAAACAAAAAATGTTTCCTTTTTAGTGCAAGAAAAACAAATGGAAATCCTATCCTTTGTTTTTATTTTTTGTTGTTTAAACAAGATTCAAGAATATGTTTTAGTGATGATATGATATAATTAACTGAGGCTTTATTTCCTGACCCAACATTTAAACATTTTTAAGCTTCTCAACATTTTTGTACATTAAGAAGTAATTGATATTATGGTAGATCCAGGATCTGGAATGGATATTTATTATGCTTTAATCATAATGAAAGTAAGAAATACCTTTCTGTGTTCTTCATATTCCAGTTTGCTTAAAAGTAAAGCTTTTTCAAGGTCTGCTTCAAACATTTCAGAGGTCAGCTGAAAAACAAGGCAGAAAAGCAGATATTGTGAAAAAACATTTATTTAAGTATTTCTTAGAAAAATCTTGCTCCTCTGAAATAATCTATATAGCAGTGTGTGTATAATTATATACCATACACACTGAATGTACAAAACATTTTTCTCATCAATGACATCTTCAGTAATAAGATTTTGTAGATAATAGTAAAAGCAATTTTGTTACAGCCATTGTTGGTGAACCCTTCCAAATTCAGAAATAACTCAAATTCTGAATTAAGTAAGACCTTGCTGTAAATCACTGTTCCCCAAAATGGTCAATATCGACCCCCAAGGGTCAGTGAGACTATCCAAGTGGTTGATAAATGACTGAGGGTCCAAAAGGGTCAGTCAGTGGGGGTCAATAGGAACAGACTGAACTTGGAAGAGTGTGGTGACTTATGATTAAAACTCACCAATCTCCAACCAAATATCAGTGCCTTTTTTGACGCTCATTAGATGCATCGTTCCTATTAATGATATCAACAGCTTCAGTAAAAAAGTTGTGTTAAATCCTGTATTTTTCTTATTTTAAATATCACCTATTTTTATGAAGTCATTTTATTATCTATTATTATGTTGTTATTGTTATTCATAGTGCTGTTAGTTAAAGTAGTATTAATTTAATTATTTTCATGTAATAAATGTTTGGGGGTTGATGAACAATCTGAAACTTCATAGAGGGGTCAGTGATCTGAAAGGTTTGGGGACCCCTGCTCTAAATAAATTTGTCAGTTGCATCCTAATTCTACGCACGTGTACATAGAATTATGTTCATAGGGCTTACTTCCAGGTAGATCTGAACCTTAGGCTGCAGTTTTATATCCACTTACTTGTCAGAAAATCTAAGAAGCACAAGTAAGAGCCAATGTGGTATAGTAATTAAGAGGCTGGGTTGGCACTGGAGAAACACAAGTTCAAGTCTACGTTCAGTCATAGAACCGCAAGGGGTGACTTTGGGGCAGTCCCTCTCTTGAGCTCAACCTGCCTCACAGGTTGTTGCTATGGGGAAATATGGGAGGAGAGAGCATTAGAACTTGGCAGTAATATATTGAAAAGTAAAATACTGAAGTACCTGCTCATCTCTTTGTCTCCACTGTTGCCAATTCTCTTCCTGGGAGTCTTTCCTGTGTGTGTGGCTGAAAGCTTGCTCCTGCAGAGATAAGCAGGTTCCATGGGAGGCTTTTGGAGGAAGTTTTTTAAAAGCAAGATTTCTGAGCTAAAAATATGAGAAGAATGAACTATTTTAACATATGAAAGACTGACTTCCTGAAACTATTTTTACCATTTAACTGTATGGTGGTATATTTGTTTTATTAAGGTCATTTAGTTTTTTCCAATTTAACCCACACTTAACCTCATTTGCTTCACTCTGCTGCTGCTCCTTCTTTTTCCTCCTCTTTTCCTTTTTCTTTTCATTTGTGGTTGACTTGTTGCCTGTAGTTTGGGTCTTTCCACCACTCTGACTACTTCTTCCCTTTCCAGATTCTGAATCAGAGCCACTGCCACTATCAACTTGCAATAGAGCAAATCTAGATGCAGTAGTAGGGACTGAACTAATTACAGCAGAAGCCATTTTAATGCTGCAAGTATCTGGAAGTAGACCTCCAAACTGCGGTATTTCCTGGAAAAACAATAACAATATAATAGGAAATGATGGATGGACTCCTTATTTGGTTGAGTATAAATACAATGAAAAGCATAGCTATTTTGAAATGGCACAGAAACTTAGCATGAACAAAACCCTAAAAGGACATTTCAATCTTAGTTTGCCTAAAATATAGACAAATAATTGATAATTTTTCAATATAGGCAGTTGTATTACCTAGTACAATTGTATCCTAGAAAGTTCTAGCATGCTCGCTGGGGAATTCTGGGAGTTGAAGTCCACACATCTTATAGTTGCCAAGTTTGAAAAACACTTTTCTAGATACATTTTTGTTAAGACAACTGCAAATATTTTTATAATTAATATGCCCAGAAGTGTTTTTTTTCCTCCAGAAACAATTCTAGGAAACTTGCTTAAACGGTAGGAGAGGAATTTCTCTAAGGAAAAAAAAAACTTACATAAAATAGAAACAGAAATATATAAAAGGGAAAATGGAACCTCAAAATAATTATTGAGAAATACAAAGCTTTAAAAACTCATGAAGTGAAGGATGTTTTTTGGCATTTATTTATTTGATTTTTTTTCTCCTGCCTTTATGGTCAGGAACTCAAGGCAGTATATATAGTATTCCCTTCTTAAAAGATTAAGCCATAATGCAAACATAGCAACATTACTTCTCCTCCGAACTTGCCACTCATTTAGATGATGGAACGATTACTGTGAGAGTAGCTGTCACTTTATTCTTAGTGAGGACTGTAAAAGAGAACTTCATGGATTGTTTCCAGCAACATGCGTAAGAATATAAAATGACTTTAAATAGGAGTTATGAGGAAATGTGATGTTGATGCTTTAAGGATTTAAATTAGAAGGCTATATAATTATTCTAGCAATCACAGAAATATTTGTGATAGAAAAAAATGTATTAGCAGAATATTTATACTGAATTCTGCTGTATCACTATGATGTCAACTCCAAAACTGAGAAGAGCTCCATAGATCGTTTTACAAAAATATAAATAAGACAGAGAAAGTTCTCTACTTTCTGGGGGTGGGGGGAATAACAGATTATTTCTGCATCTTGGAGCTTACAATGAGAACAAAGGCTATAGCCAAGACGATATCCTATTTTTTTCCAGATATTGTATTTCAGATGTTCCCGTTTAACAAGCTAATATATATTTATGGCTCAAATCAGGTGTTAATTGTTTGACTCCAGGAATGTCCACAAAAGATTTACTACTTTTGCTTCCAATGTTTCTTTAAAAAAAAATTCAATGTTTAACAATACTTTCCTTAAAAGAAAAAAAAAGTATTTGTTATCTTCTGTGGTACTTAGGTTCAAGAAATACTAAATTGGATAAAAAAATTACATAAATGAAGTAAAATTAACATTAAACATACCAATGCATGATTAAACAATGATAAAAGGTTAAGAAAACCACATCTGCATATTTTAATACATTGCATGGATTGAACTGGAAAAAGAGTCTTCAAACAATTTTACAAAATGAAGTAGTGGGAATTTTATTATTCCAATAACCCACCAAAGCTTTTTTTTTAATCTGTTAAAAGACAGTGTATATTATTTAATTAGTAGGAAGTGTTCAACTAAAATCATCATTTTACTGTATTCAAGAAAAAACACTGTCTTCACCAGTAACTTTGAGCAGATGTTTACTATTTATGGACAGGAGAGCATGGACAATCTAGCCCAAAATAATGCTCGAAGTTGTGCTGTAAGAAAATACGTGCCAAGAGCTTTCAGCCCATTCTCGGTCAGCAGAAAACAATACCATCATGAAATTGGATGCCCCATTGTGGATCCCTATCTTGTCCTCCGTTCTTCCCTTCAAGTTAATGGATAACAAAAACTAATTTTATACTCCTTGATACTGCTATTAGATGGTTTCATAATAAGGGGAAAAACACTGCTTTAACCACTTGGCTGTCTTAAGCCCGTTTCACACCTAGGCTGGGAATGAGATGGAGGCAACACTCCAGGATTGTGTTGACAACCTGTGTTTGTGAAATGGTTAGGTGCAAAGTGGGGACAAGACCGTCACTCTCCTTTCCACACAAATGAAGCTAAAGAGCACCAAGCTTGAACATTAGAGAATGCCCTCAGCATTTATTTCAAGCAGTATTTCTGAAAGCTATGCTTGCCTAAGTGAACAAATTAGGGCCGTTTTCTCCTTTTAAGGAGGAAATGTCTGCTTCTCTCTGGGAAGGTGGCCTGGCTATCATCAAGCTTAGCCCCTGGAGTTTTGCTGTTATTATTGCTGCTGGAAAAATAATATTGGTGGCTCCTGTATTGCTGCCCTTCGAAAGCGCCTTTGCTCAGTTTCAATCTTGGTTGTAAAAGTAATGTAAAAGGCGCCGCACTTCCTTCCGAATTAACGGGGCCCTTTTGCTCCAGGACCGGGTCACTTCCAAGAGCACGGCCAGGCCGACCCACGGCAAAGCGAGCGCGTTGAGCGTCCTCGCCTCGCCACCCCCCACGCCGGAATCTGCGCCAGCCAAACCTTTCGCGCTCCCTTCCCCAAGAGCGGCGCGGGGGGGCGGCGCAGGCATGTCTTGCTCTTCGGATCTTCTCGAGGGGACTCAACACAGAAGCTAAAAAGGAGCGAAGTAAGAGCCCTCACCCGAC